TTATGGGCAAAAGGTTATGGTGCCGGTTGGAGTCCCGTCTGTGGCCAAGTCTTTTGCCCATAGCTTTTTCACGTCCTAAGGGGATTCATTCTGTAGAGCTGAGCGAGCTGAGTTTAATGATGTAAATTTCGTTGTAGAAAAATTGAATAGTAGTTGAGTTACAACAAAAAAACGAAAAAAAAATTGCGGATTGGCGGTTTCTTCTGTTTTTTTTTCAATAGTAGGGGTTGGCTATGTTGGTATTGTACAAAGAATAAAACTGTCTTTCCAGTTTATATGGCCTGTTCTTCGACGACCAGAACGACAACTGAACGGTACCATACGACCACAAGAAGATCACCATTGCTCAGCACATTACCACGCTCCAAGTAATAGTATTACTGGGCGCTGCTTCGACAGAAACACTGCATTCAGTCGCCGCGTTTCAATCCTTGCTCTGATCGCTCGATGTCCAGTGGGAAACGCCACTACAATTCTTGATCTAAATCAGCACTGACAGTACTTCATCCAAATCTGTAAGAAAAAAAGAAGCTGCTAGGGATCACGCGCTCCCTGGACACTTTGAATGGGTCATGGATGGGAGCGTAATCCACTTTTTCAAGTCTAAAATATCACTTCTGCACCTGTTTCCCTCTTTGTTTTATCAGAATAAATTAATTTCCACGTTTTTGATGGCCTAACAAAAACTTATTGCAAGAGCTCAACAGAGACTTGTACTACAGAAATTAAGCCCTCCATTGACCCCCGTCACAACGAAACCTGCAAAGATGTCCCCTGGATACCTAACGACTCTATCCACTTTGTGCCATCTGTCTCGCGAGAGAAGATAATCCGCTCACGTTCGCTCAGTCGGAGGACACGTGCAATTACTGAGGAACGCTTACCCGAAAATCGTAGGGCATGGTTTGTACATACATAGTACCCCATTCCTCCTATTATCGTGACACATTCCCTTAAACTGTAATCAGTATCCCCTCTCCCCTCAAGTCTCTCTCGACTGAGCAAACTTCACCAAATTAAGTGACATTAGCTATGAAGTGGCAAATTTCTTCGACTACTAGGCTCCCCACTCCTGGAGAAAGAGAATCACTGGCCTGTCCCCGAGGTGAAGCGCTGTAGTGATTGAAATTTTGAGAGTGATTGATTCATTTTGCATGATGGATAAGAAAATAAACAAAGAAAATCACAACTACGACAGAACCTTCTTCCCCTATCGTGCCATCGTGTTTTTTCAACACATGTGAAAGAAGTGCTGTAAATGTCGATATCGGGATGGACAAATTGTCGTAGCATTTTCACTAGACAGTACCTTCACTCGACCAGAACAGTTGAAATGGCAGAACAGGTAAGGGAAGGAGGCGATTGAGGTGCTAGTGTTGTTTCCGTCAGAGCAGAGCCCAACAAACGATGATTCGGAGCCTAGCTCAGTGATAAGGCAGCGTTCAGACTTCGCGACGGCAGCGCTCCAGTCGCGCGATTTGACGATCGATGCGCATGCTTTCGACTGCATCGATCGCGTCGAACGCGCGACCGAAGCGCTGCCGTCGCGAAGTCTGAACGCTGCCTAAGCAACATGGCCTACTTGCAGTTTTGTTATCTCTCATTTTAGTTCCTCGTGTTTCTAGTCATCGAGGAGCGGGCGGTTATGCTTTATTCTTTGAATGAAGCCGTCTGAAAGCCACTCTGCAGAATTCCATTGCCATGTGATACTTTCCTCTTCGGCCGCGTAACTTCTTATGACAGAATTCAGGAGTGACTTGTATATCACCATCCCTGACTGTTAGAAAGGAGCGCCAACTCGCAATTTTTCTTAATTTTTCTTTGTAACTCAACTGTTCTTAGCTTTATATGGTATATTATGAAACTCAGATCGCTTTGAGGTCTCCCAGGGATTCCTTAGGAACCTTGAAAAATTCTGATGGGCAACAGACATTGACCAAGACCGGGACTCCAAAACTGCATATCCTTTTTGCCTCATAAATGCAGCACTCTTTCTAATACCTTCCGGAGTGCGAAAACTGCTTAGTGCGCTAAAGCGCCTCTATTCATTGATTTTTGAAGCTAATTCAGCAATAAATGGCTACCCAGAAGAAGAAGTCCAAAAACGTTCTGTCTTCGAGGTAACCACTCGGGTGTCTGTAATGCCAGAATTTCTCTACTTTCCCAGAATCTACTTCAAGATGATCGGCGCTCCAGTACAGCTTTTCTTTCAATTCAGAAAAAAAATTTTTCCGTTCACCTATGGAATTTAATTTAGCTCCTGTTTTCTTAATTTGCGTTGCTGATCTTCTGGCTTCTGCCGCATTTATTGTTTTACCCAGTCGTATCGCCCGGCTGTTCGCCGGGCGCTCCGTCCTTGGCTCTGCCTGACACGGCCCGCGCCTTTCGCCGCGGCCGATGCGGATTTTGCCGCGTGCTAATTAAGGCATCAGTTGACCAACCACACTGCTTCAAAGGAATCTTCGAGCATCAGCAACTGAAAAGCAGCGTCTTTGTTCCGCCATAGGGCGCCAGAAGCTGGAAGCAGCCAAGCGCCCTCCCCCCCCCCCGCCAGTCACAGAAGGAGGAAAGCGGCCTTAGCCAGCGATCCGACTGGTACGTTCATAACCTACACGGAAATAGTGCAGCCTGTTTGGACAGCCACTGAAGCAGCCTATAATTTATGCAATCTGTCTTCCTAAAGCGTCTTGCTTTGGAATGCACTACCGCATTCAGCAGTGGAACCCTTAAATGGCCCTCAGTTGCTGATGGAAGATAATTGTGGTAAGAGTGATAAAGTCAGTTGCTGCTGTTCATAACATCTCTGTAAACAAACCACATGCATTTGGAATAGAGCTGGCTTAGCGGTCGTACACGATGTCGTTACTAATAAGCCCACGTGAGAATGAGTTCTTTGAATCACTGAGCATCGTTATGACTTGAGTCATATTTCGATCGCATTGTTGTTGTGAGCGGTGAAGCGGATTTTCCCATGCTACCTTGTCAATTTTAGCTCCTATCACTTCCGTACCCGCCAATAACACTCCCGTCCCGTATCACTATCATCACCCTGTATCGCCTCTCGGATCAGAGGTCCCACTGTTGCTGTAACCTGCGTTACGAATCTGATGACCCTCCCCTTCCGAGGCCGCTTACCGTATCTTATCAACTGTTATCACTTTCTGTCGCCCGCCAATAATGTTCCCGTCCCACACCCTATATCACCTCACGGATCTGAGTTCCCACTGTTGCTGTAACCTGCGCCACGAATTTGATGACCCTCCTCTTCCGAGGCCCCTTATCGGATCTTATCAACTGTTATCAGCTTCTGCCAGCCCCACCCTACGGCATATCAGTACTTGAAATCATGGTCCCGCCGTTGCTGCAACTTGCCACGAATTCGGTCACCCTCCCCTTTTAAGGCCCCTTATCGAATCTTATCAAGTGTTATCACCTCCTGTCACCCACCAAAAGTGTTCCATGTATATCACTTCTTCTTGAAATCACGGTCCCGCAGCTGCTGCAACTTGCGCTAGATGTTGGTCACCCCCCTTCTAAGGCCCCTTATCGAATCTTATCAAGTGTTATCACCTCCTGTCACGCCCCATCAAAAAGTGTTTCCGTTCCTGCATCGTTTATTATCAATTCTTGAAATCACCGGCCGCAGCTGCTGCAACTTGCGCTAGATGTTGGTCACCCCCCCCCCCCTTCTAAGGCCCCTTATCGAATCTTATCAAGTGTTATCACCTCCTGTCACGCACCAAAAGTGTTCCCGTCCTGCCATGTATATCACTTCTTGAAATCACGGTCCCACACCTGCTGCAACTTGCGCTACGAAAAACTCAGTCACCCTTCCCCTTCTTACGGGCCTACGAATTCAGTCACCCTCCCTTCTGGCCCCTTATCGTATCTTATCAAGTGTTATCACCTCCTGACACCCACCAAAAGTGTTCCCGTCCTGCCATGTATATCACTTCTTGGAACTGTCATCCTATCTTTTCTGCGACGCTCGCTATGAATTTCGTGACACACACACACACACACACACACACACACACACACACACACCACACACACACAGCGGAAATGTATATAGTAGGATGAGAATGGCTTGAGTGGTTAGCGGAGTTGTTTCCTCATCCCTTGGGTGCGCGTTTCTACTGAAACGCGCGCTACGCACCCCTCACTGTACCCCCCTCCCCGCGACCCCTTCACTCTGCCTCCTCCCATACATGTGCCCAGCTCCGGCTGAGCACGTGCAGGAGAGGGAGGCAGGGCGACTGGGCACCCCCACCCTGCCCCCGCACGAGCACACGTCCAGCTGCCACGCCAGCAGCTCGTGCAATGGCTCGGAGTGTACCGAATGGTTGTCTTATATAGCGGAGGCTGTTATTCAAGCAATCAGAATCATTTGGACGGCTTACCATCCTCCCAGTCGGTTACCGGTTTGCCTAGCGGTCATTTTCGCCCCCAGCGAATTCGAACCCGTGAAGTATTTTGCGGACGGACAGACAAACATACAACTACAAAGCCTACATACAAACATTACAACCGACACACCAAAGTTACTGCGTTTATAGAATGAAAGATTTTTGGTTTGTTATTCATCCTGTGTAATAAAGTAAAGTTCTTTACCTTGTAATCGTTAATGGTCTCATAAGTTTGGCGCCCTTGATTTTCAACGAGTATTTGAAGAGTGTCACCGGGGGTGCACCCTTTCAGGTCCACAGATCGTTTTGACTGACCATTGAATGAATTGACGAATGTTCCCTGAAGATAATGAACAGTAACATTCCAAGAAAATCGAACAAAGTTCTTTTTGCTCAAATTGTGGGTTATTGACACTAGCAGTCGCGAAGGATACTGCCCTTTTCATGGCCAGTGTCACTTATGTACCAGAAGACGTGATTCGCGGGAAGGTGGGCATGACATGCGACGTCGCGCCTTTGGAAGACGAGATTGCGACGGGGGGCATTTTGCACTTTGCTACCAACCAGAGAGCTACTTAACGAGCTGACAAGGGTTGATAGGTTTCATATGGTAGCTCGATGAGCTTAGCTTACTCTAGCTTGATAAGAATTCACAGGCTTTACCAGAGTGAAACCTGAAAACCGGAACTAGTGCAGCAGTGAAAGTGCAAAATGCCCCCTCCTCCCGTCGCCGAACAGCGCCCAGAGAAAGATTTCTGATAGACGCATAACCAAATATGGATAGAAGTGTAACAGTGTAAAAATGGATAGACAACGGCATGGCAAACTGCGATTGTCCTACCCCGTAGACGAGGGTCTGTTGCGTCGTGGCTGCGCGTGCCAGCGTCCACAAGCCGCATTGATAATCATGGAAAAAACTTCCACAATTTGGATCGGATTCTTTGATAGTTGCTTTGAAGGAATTTCCGCTACAACATTTATATATAGTTTTTGATATTTTTAAAAGACACGTTACGTCAGCGTTGGTTAGAGTTTGCCTTATTGCCCTGTCACAGAGACGCGCCGGTCTGCAGTCTAGCGGATGCCACATTACGCGTACTATGGACGCAAGCCGCCAGTTAAGAGAACGTGCTTAGCAGGCTGATTGCGACGTACCGGAAACCAAATCACACAGGTATATAAGTGTCCACTGAACATACTGACCACGCGTGCGCTTGCAACTGATTTCTTTCTGGCCTTGATGTGCTGTCGTGCTGTACAGCGCTCTCACTCGCGCTCTGTCTGGCACCCGTCTCTGCGTAACAGTCTCCCACCATAGTCGTTTAAGGCTGAAAATCAACTGGAATTGAGCGGTGTTTTGGATGCCTTCCGCTAATTTCTTTACCGGTGAACTATTAGCAACGACAAGGTCATGTTTTAGCTCTGCTACCTGCGAACTGTATCGCGGAACGGGTTCTTGAAGGCAATGGGCACAAACGGCTGGGGGCGGGCGGTTGCTAACGTCATTGGTGGAAGAGCTGCTAGAGAGCGTTTGGCCACACCCTATTCAGCCCTTCCACCAATGACGTTGGCAGCAACCGCCCACCCCCAGCCATCGTGTCCATTACCTCCGAGCTCCAGTAATTATTTCAACTTACAAGATGGTTCTTGTTCAAATACACGTATCCGAAGTCCTTAAGCAGTGTTATATTAAGTGAATAGCCGCAAGAATCCATTTTCTGAAGTAAAATACTAAATATTATGAATACACCAATTGTATTTGTGGACCTTAAGCAAATCCTACCGTAGTGTAAAGAACAAATCCGAACGGTTGACCGATCTTCTCGAAAGACATCGGTGAATCGCTAGTGATGCAGTTTTGCTCGTGAGGTGCTCCAGAAAGATCATCTACAGGCTCCATTTTCACTGTTCCGTAAGCCTTCTTCCTGAAATCTTCATGGATTGTTTGTATATAAAGGCCCACCCAGAGGACGAGTATTCATCCACTTACGGGTTATTCGACGGTACGTCCAGAGGTGGCGTCTTCCAGTCAGGTATACTCTTTGATCCACGAACGTATCGCCAAATACTTGGGTGTAATATCACCAGCTTCCGAAATTCGGGGCGAAATAGTCGTATGAGGTAATACACTGAAAGCGTTTCTATGGCTTGTGACAAGGACGATATAAATCATCTCGTGTGAAGGGGAGCCCTAGTGAAAAACCACATACGGGAGCGGTTGTTTCAGCACCATTCCAAAATCCGAAGTTAGTTCCTCCATGGATCATGTAGAAATTGATATTTGCACCCATACTATACATATCTAGGCAATACAAAGACCAATATAAACCAAAAAGCAACAAAAACTAAAAATTCTTGGGTTGATTAGATTCGTCTTATCTCATTTCTCTTTATATGTGAGACGCTGGACGTAACTAGAGGTACAGTCCTCATCATTGCGGACCGGTGGGGCGTGTCAGTGCGGCTGCGTTTGGCGCGGTGCCAAAGTCGTTCTGCACCAGTTGTTGAAGCGGGCAAGTGACATTACTGTATTATATCCTTCGTATTACTCGTTTTACACTTTTTGTCGCATGCGTTTTACAAAAAGGTGGAATGGCTTCAACAGTATGCACGACGTCATGACTGGCTGACACGCCGGTAGTGGTGCGCAACTGATGATGACTTACGCGGTCCGCGTATTAACTTGTTGGCAAGGGCGAAATCTTGAGAGGCAACATCGTTAGATAGTGATTTAGATTATATATGAAAATTTTCAGTAACTTAGAAGTCCGCATACAGACCTCCAAGGCTCAAGTATATCGATAGTGGGAAAAAAAGCAGATAAAAAACATGCCACTACCTGGAACAGAGACCCATTTCGATCCCGAGTTGGTACGTACCCCATTTACTCTAGTTCGCCGTGGACGGTTGGGCGTGTCAGGCAGTATGAGTGTGTCACGCCGTCAAAGTCGTTCTCTGCCTTCTTGTTGAAGAACACATGCGACAAAAAGTGGTAGAAAACGAGTAGTACGACAACTATGTACAGTCAATGACCATTTGCTCGCCTTAACGAACTGGTGGAGAACCCTGGATTTGGCAGCGTGCGCAAATTATGCCCGCCTGACCACGCCCAACCATCCGCGCGGACCCTATGCTGTCAGATCCAATCTCCAACCTCACCTACGCCTCATTGCACGTCTGGAAGGCGGAGTCCAGGCATCACTGGATCTAGATTGCGCTATAGCGCCCCTCCCTTACAAGTTTTTGCCGCGAAACCGGTACAAGGTTGTTCTTCGTGGACCACAGTGCCCTCCCGACGCCATATTTTTAACTTTATATATCTGAATCGCGGACCGATGAAGAAGTGATGGCACGCTGGCTGCTCGTCACAACAACACGTGACAGTAAACTTGTTCTTCACACTGCCGCCCGCGCAGCCATAAACGGCTGACCACAACGCCACCATAACCGATGCCCTGCTTGTCTGCGCGCCGCTCACTTCTTGTTATGTCTACGCTGAGAGCATGTTCTTGGATGCTACCTGGGACGCTTGGTGCCGGAGGGACGCATGTGCTGACAATGAGGAAACGCAGGCGGCGTATTGTATACTTCATCGGAGTACTAACACGTTTCAGCCAACCGTTTCCCTCTTCTAGGTGATGAAACGTGGGCATGCCAGACGCTTGCTATCGTTCTACTCACCCATTGGAAAGGACTGTTCTTGAATGAGAGTGTACTGTTTGTTCCCAAGAGAACAATTCAGTGTGTGTGTGTGTGTGTGTGTGTGTGTGTGTGTGTGTGTGTGTGTGTGTGTGTGTGTGTGTGTGTGTGTGTGTGTGTGTGTGTGTGTGCCGTCTAGTTTCAACAATGCAGAATTGTGTGTGTGCGTGTGTGTGTGTGTGTGTGTGTGTGTGTGCGTGCGTGTGTGTGTGTGTGCTGTCTAGCTTTCAACAATCCAGGATTGTGTGTGTGTGTGTGTGTGTGTGTGTGTGTGTGTGTGTGTGTGTGTGTGTGCCGTCTAGCCTTCAACAATGCAGAATTGTGTGTGTGTGTGTGTGTGTGTGCGTGTGTGTGTGCGTGCGTGTCGTGTGTGTGTGTGTGTGTGGTGGTGGTGTGTGGTGTGTGCTGTCTAGTCTTTCAAAACCAGGATTGCTGGTGTGTGGTTGTGTGTGTGTGTGTGTGTGTGTGTAGTGTGTGCGCCCGTCTAGCTGTTCAGCCATGGAACAGAATTGTGTGTGTGCGTGTGTGTGTGTGGAGTGCGTAGTGTGTGTGTGGCCGTCTAGCTTTCAGCAATCCAGATTGTGTGTGTGTGTGTGCGTGTGTGTGTGCGTGCGTGTGTGTGTGTGCTGTCTAGCTTTCAACAATCCAGGATTGTGTGTGTGTGTGTGTGTGTGTGTGTGTGTGTGTGTGTGTGTGTGTGTGTGTGTGTGTGTGTGTGTGTGTGTGTGCCGACTAGCTTTCCACAATCCAGGATAAGCAGATGGAAGAAGATTCCAACCAGTAAGCCCTTGTACCAGTTGGTGCTCTTGGGTATATTTTGGGGATACTCGAAAACCCTGAAAGTGTGGAAGTGCTGAGCGTATGTAATATATACTCCTACGTACGACATGTCAATTAATGAAGCCGTCGACATGCTATTGTGAAGGGCGAGTTGTCAATGTGTGGGAGCCTAATTTGTTTCCTATTCGCTTTCACGTCGCCCGCGGGGAACTCAATGATTTTCTGACACTTTGGCAGCAGCAAGATTATCGCAGAAAGGCTCTAGCTGTTAATGAAGTGCTCTCCACCCCTGAGCCTCAGTTCTAAGCTTCAAGGTGGCTTGGTTCCCCGCACAATCGTTCAATGAGCCCTTCACTACGAGCCGGTCGTGATAAATTTCTACAAAATGGTAATTGTAGAGATAACTGCCAGCCGGTCACTCGAAGTATCAATTTGTTGTAAGTCATAATCACAGAACAAACTCACATTTTGCTGACTTTACAATATCGTCTGGAGAGGGAGTGGTGGCCTTCGTTTGGCCCCATAGCACCAGCCATCCCGGATAGAATTCCGAATTTACCAGAGGACCATGACCTAAAGAGGTGGTATTAGGGCTCAGCAGCCTCTACTGTAAAACTCTGATGGCTTCATTGAACAACTCCTCTCTGGAACGACGGCACCACTCTACAGAAACAAGCCTAGTGCCTCTTCGCCGCATTAAATGACAGTATAGAACTGACCGGAACTCGCTGCTTCACTATAAATCCCATTCTTACGTACGTCATTCCTTTTGCCGGGGATTTCGGGAATAGGTACATTCCCATTATTGTGCGAAATGATAGGGACACAGTGGGAAGAGCTGACCTACAGTCGTTCTCGCTGCAGACCCTTGGGTGTGTCAGAAGGGGGGGGGGAGGTTCAGCGCGAACGCCAGCCCGTTCTCCACAGAATGTTGAAGAGGATAAGCGACTATCCAAAAACTGTCGGAAAACGGGATGGCGCCGCGCCAAACCCAGCTCACCACTCTGACACGCCTTAGCGCCTTTAGCAGAAGCGACCGTATTAACCAAAAAAATGCATGAGCAGTAGTGAAGGAATATTGATGTGCTATTAAAGGCATCTGGCACGATAATGTGGTACTCGGACTAAGTACTATACAGGGGGGGGGGGCAAAAAAAAGTCATTTTGCCTCCATGACTTTCAAGGCGCTATAAGTTACACTTTATTAAATTTTTATCGGACATTTTACTACCATATTAAAGAGCACATTAAATACTATAATGATACTCCGCCACAGCCTTCTGGAGGAGCG